AATGTCACCAAAGAATGTCCCAAAAAAATGCAGCTCTTGCCCTAGCTAGTGTGGCTTAGTGGTTAGAGCATTGGCCCAGCGCACCTAGGGGTCGTGGATTTGATTCCCAGTCAAGGGCATGTGCCTGGGTTGCAGGTTCCACCCCCAGCCCAGGGTGGGGTGCATGAGGAAGGCAACCAATTGATGTGTCTCTCTCACATAGATGTTTCTCTCTCCCCCCCCCCCTTCCCTTCCTCACTTCCCCTCTGTCTAAAATCAATGGAAAAAATATCCTCAGGTAAGGACTAACAACAGCAACAACAACAGACATAGCTCTGGATGAAAATAATCCTTTTGACAAGACAGGGTAATGCTGTGAGGCCACAGGCTAGAGAGACATGAAGACTTGAATTCAAACACAAGCTCCACTCTAAGCCGTCTCTTCTATGAAACGGAATAACTGCCTCCTTAAGATTCAATTGTCTGTCAGTTAAAAAGGGCACAGGGCTCAACACAGGCTCTGCACATAGACTGCTCACGGCATGTATTACCTATCTTAACCTCATCCTTTTCCCTGACTCCAGGGAAAGTTCAACGTCAACTTCTTCAAGCAGAGGTGAAATTTCTACTCTGAAAAATACTTTGTCTTTATTTCTGATTGGGTATTGATGAATGGCAGTTAATGGTTGTGTCAGCTAGTTTTGATGCATAACAAACCACCACCCACTCCCAACTTAGTGACTTTAAACAGCAACCAATTCCTGCCCTCACAATTCTGCAGCTCAACAATTTCAGCTGGGCTCAGCTGAGTGGTCCTTCTGCTGTTCTCAGAAGGCTCACTTATGCGTCTGTGGTCAGTGCCCTGTCAGCTAGGTGGCTCTGCTGGGGGTGGCTCATGTTCTAGGATGGTCTCACTCACATTCCTGGCATGTGGTTCGTTGTCAGCTGGGGTGAAGGGCATGCATGGGCCATGGGTCTCTCATCATCCACCTAACCCGAGCTTCTTCATACTGTCGGCAGCATCTTGCTTGAAGAGCAGCAAAAGGGGGCAAACCCCAGTGTGCAAGCGCTTTTCAAATCTCTGCTTGCTTCACTCTTGCCATTCTCCCGCTGGACAAAGGGAGCTCCATCTCCAACACCAACGACAATGTGGGAGGAGATGCAGGCACCCATGCACAAATTGCAGTTGTTACTGTAACAGATTACTATTACAGCAGTTCATCAAATGACCTTGTTCGTCACTGGGGAAATTCTGAACACTGGACAATACTTAACCAAGTGGTAGAATGCTAGTCTCTCAAAAATGATTTTCACCCTTCTTTAGAAAAAGCCACAACTACCTTGCCCTATTATTGTAATAGGTGAATGATAAAATTATTGTATGAAATTCTGGGGACAAAAAACTAGTTTCAAATTTTCCTTGGCATTGTACTAAACCTGTAAGTTGTGGATCTCTTTTTCCAGTAGCATGCTATGTATGTCTTGGCCAGTAGGAATCCAACCCATACCTCTTTCCATATTATAATGTTGCTATTCCTCTCCCTTCCAATAAACATACCTCCAGCAGAGGCATTTTGCATAGGCATAATCTGATGAAGAAGTAATGGAATAAACTAGAAAATGGCCCCTCTGGTGACACAAGCAGATAGTACCTGGTATTGGGAAGTAGATTTGTGATGTGGCTGGGGCCTGGTTGGACCACTCTTCTGCCCAGACATCAGCCCGCTCTCCTGCCTTAGCTAGGGGTCCTTCTGATTTATCCAAATCATCGTTCAAAGCTGAGTACAAGTTTATCATTTTCTACTAAAATGACCTAACCATATTTTTAGGATCCCATGGTATAATTTATTTGGGGGTGGTTGACATTGCTACGGTGAATGTCATTTCCCCATTCTAATTTTTAAAGATATTTTTATTGATTTTTAAAGAGAGAGGAAGGGAGAGGGACAGAGAGAAACATCGATGCCAGAGGGAAGCATGGATCCGCTGCCTCGGGCACACCCCCTACCGGGATCGAGCCTGCAACCCTGGCATATGCCCTGACCTGGAATCGAACCAGCAACCTTTCAGTGCACAGGACGACGCCCAAATGAGCCACACTGGCCAGGGCTCCCCATTCTAACTTTGCAGATGATTATTGCTGGTACACATGAAAGCTCTTGGCATTTTAAACGTTGTTATTTCATTCTACCATTTAAAGGAATTTATATTTACACCATTAGGTTTTTCCCAAGACCACATCCGCATCATCCGCAAATAATGACAATTGTGCCTTCTTTACCAAAACGATGGACTTTTTTCTCTTTGCAACCTCATTACACTGGAAAGAACACCTAAAACAATATTTAATGATATTGGTGATAATAGGTATATTTGCCTAAATCCTGATTGTAATGGATTTTTTCTTAGTGGTTTAACATCCCTTGTGTATTTGTGAGTATGGGCACACTGAGGAATACTGCCTGCTAAAATCTCTTTTCCTCATTTGCTGCTGCTGCTGCTGTTGTTGTTGTTAATCCTCACCTGAGGATATTTTTCCCACTGAATTGTAGAGAGAGTGGAAGGGAGGGGGGGAAGGGGGAGAGGGAGAGAGAGAAACATCGATGTGAGAGAAATACACGTAGATTGGTTGCCTGCCGTATGAGCCCAACCAGGGCCTGGGACCAAACGTGCAGTCCAGGTACATGCCCTTCACTGGGAACCGAACCCAAGGCCCTTTGGTGCTTGGTCCCACACCCTAACCACTGAGCCACACCAGCCAGGGCTCCTCATTTGTTTTTAATCACGGGGTGTTTCATTCCTTCATATGTTCTTGATCACCATAGATCGCTAAAATATGGTCAGTAGCAGTAGTGTCTTTATAGGTTAAAGTCATTCTCCTTATGTCTCCATTCAGTCATTTTCTTCATATACGGCCCATACACTTTTATCCTATTATGCTCTAGGTATTGCACGTGTCTGTTGCCGCTGGGAACAGGATCATTTTTATGAGCTATTCTGGTTATAAATGGAGTGGAGCAGACCCTGGGAGGCTGAACTAACTTGTTATTTAAACTTTGGACTGTATGTTTCATAACTACTTTCCACTTACATCTCAGTCGATTTCCCCTTGACGAAGGAATTCTTTCATTGGAGGAGTGAGTTCTGGGTGATGGTGCTTGCCTGATGCCAGCAGCGTGCCTGTTGCTAAGAGAGAGACAAAGAGGCATCAGTTGCAATATGGCAAAAGTTGAGGGACATCAGAGGTCTTCTCCATAAGGCCACTACCACTGTTCGAGTAGGAACACAATACAAAAATTGAAAAGGGGAGGGAAAGCTTTAGGCTGTTGGAATTTTGGCTGGGGGTGGGGGCCACTGCTTGGCCTGGAGGACAGGATGACCGAGCAGAGAGGTGTGAGAGCACCAGGTGGACTTGCTGCGGTCCCACGCCAGGAGGCTTCTAAATATTAAAATGTAGGATATGAAAGGATTTCCGTAGGCATGTTTTCCCAAACCCCAACCAGTACTTATCAATGAGAAACAGAAGGGTGGAGTGCGTGGAGGGCGGAGACTCTTGGGAGGTCATAAAAAACACTACTCGGGATGTTTCTCCAGCTGTTGGATGAATGTGACTCCAAGGCAAGGAGGCAGCAGGCGAGGGGCTTACTGATGAAGAAAACTGAGGCGCGGGGGAGGTGAGACGTCAATAGGGGTTGAAGAGAAGCGTCAAGTTCTGTGGGCTGTGCCAAGGTGCCTGGCAAGGTGAAGAACCTGTTGAAGAGATAAAACTGCATGATGTGACTCAGCAAAGATTAGGTAAGACTTTGATCCAAGAATACCGAGATCATCTTGACGAACCCGAGCCTTGGTATAAATAAGCCGGGACCGTTCCTTAATGGGCGACCCTGAAGTTGCACTTGACCCTACTGTGTGGAGAATGGCTGCCCGTGTGCGTCGTGAAGCTGTGGGCGGTGAGGAGAAACGTCCCGGGCTTCCACAGCCACGTTCAGCTCCGAGGCACACGTGGGAACAGTGCCAGCCCAAATCACAATGCGGTGAACCTAACTCCGCGTGAAAGAGATTCCCAGCCAGAGAGGTGCGGGGCGCCTGCGCAGTGGGCCCGAGGCACCGCGCTGCGGGAGTCGCGAGACCCCCGCCCCCGCCCCCGTCCCTCGCCCTCCGGCGGGAACGCGCACGTGGAAAGCGACGCGCACGCGCACGCGAAGGCGCCTCACCTCCCTCTACCGTGCCGGGCGGCTGAGGAGGGGGGAGACGCGCGGAGGAGCCG